AAACTCAACCACTGACCCAAACTCAACTGTTTACCCAAACTCAACCATTGACCCAAACTCAACTATTGACCTAAACTCAACTACTGACCACAACTCTCCAATATAGAGAAAAGGATGTCATGAGGGACAGTGTCAAACGCTTTGCATAAGTCCGGGTAGACAGGATCAGTTGCTTTGCCCCTATAGACAAATTCTGTGGCCCGATCATAGAAGGCATGACTTGCCCCTGGTAAGGCTATTTTGGTTATTACCAATCCCCTCTTTGCTTTACATGTGCCTAAGCATAGCTTCCAGGAGAATCTGTTCCATAATCTTGCCAGGCACAGAGGTGAGACTGACAGGTCAGTAGTTTCCTGGTTCTTCTGCTTTCCCATTTTTAAAAATGGGGGTTATATTTCCCTTTCTCCAGTCATCAGGGGCTTCACCTGACTGCCACGATTTCTCAAAAATTACCTGATAGTGGCTTAGCAACTACATCTGCCAGTTCCCTCAGGACCCCAGCATGAATTTCATCAGGATCCATGGACTTATGCACGTTCAGATTCCTGAGATGGCCTCGAACTTGATCCTCTTCTACAGTGAGTTTAGGGGTTTCATTCTCCCAGTCTCCCCCTTTACACTTCTTGGTCTGGTCAGAATGGCTAGAGCACCTGAAGACTGAGGAAAAGAAGTTATTAAGAACCTCAGCCTTTTCTATATCCAGGGTAGAATGACACAGAAAACAGAGGTACTTATAACCTTCTTCATATCAGTCTTCACCAGTAACGCAGGCCTTTGGGAAGCTCAGGCCCCTGAGATCACAGGAAGAATCTGGATCAAGACTCACCCTCACTGGAGCAGAACCAAGCAAACGAGCACTTAAACCAATTGGCCATATTTAAGTGCACTGGGGCCTGATAGGCTGTACAACAAGAGCTGTGGGAGCTGGTTGGTACCACTGCAAGGACACTTAGTAATCTTGAAAAGGTCTCAATAATTGGGAAAGATTCCTGAAGACTGGAAGGGAGCAAGTCTCACTCATATCTTCAAGAAGGGTATGAAGGATTATCCAGGAAACTGCAGGCTTGGCTAGTCTAACCTGTCTCTGTGACTGTGATGGAGCAAATAATCCTTGAAACCATTTCTAAGGTGAGGGTAATCACGCTTATCCACCCTGACAGCCTTCGTCAGTAAATTGACTAGCTCAGTGGCAAAGGGAAGAGCAGTGGATGTTGCTTATCTAGACTTCAGTGAGGCTTTAGTCTGGCCTTGTGATCAGCTGCACCAAGTCCATTCACAGGTAAATCACTAGCATTATACCCTGGGGCTGATACTAGGACCAATACTCTTCAACACCTTCATTAACAACCTGGACAACGGGATAAAGTTTCATCAGCAAGTTTGCAGACAATAGAAAACTGTGACAAGTGATTGATAAACCACAGGCTTGTACTGCCATTTAGAAGTGGAAGAAACGGGCCAAGAGGAATCTTAAATTCAACTAGGGGAAATATAAACTCCCACAACTGGGAAGGAATAATCCCAGGCACCAGTACATGCTGGGGGCTGACTAGAGACAGGTCTGTGGAGAAGGACCTGGGGGTCCTCATGGACAGTAAGCTGACCAGGAGCCAGCAATACAACCCTATAGCAAAGGTGGGCAACAGTACCCTGGGCTGCATCAGAACGTGTTGCCAGCAGGGCAAGGGAGGTGATCCTTCCCCCTACTCAGTATTAGTGAGAGCATATCTGAAGATCCATGCCCATTTATGGGCTCCTCAGTAACAAGAGAGACAAAGACTTGCTTGAGCAAGTCCAGCACAAGGGGATTCAAGCAACTTTTATAGGAGCAAGGGCTGAGAGGGCTGGGTGTGTTCAGTCTGGAGAAGAGAAGGTTCAGGGGTGTATTATCACCGTGTATAAAAACCTGATGGGAAGGAATGAAGGTGAGTGAGCCAGTCTTCTCACTCTTCTGCTCACATGAGAAGAAAAGGACAGAACTGGGTTTGACAGGTGACTTAAGCAGCACAGAGCAGCAGAGGGTTTAGTTACCTCTGTGCTGGTTTTGGCCAGAGTAGAGTTAATTTTCTTCACTGTGGCTAGCATGGAGCTATGTTTCAGAATTATGCTCAATGCAGAGTTGATAATATAGAGATGCTTTTGTTATTGCAACACAGTGCTTTAGAGCCAAGGCTTTTTCTGCTTTCTGTGCTGCTATGCTGGCAAGGAAGTTGAGGGTACATGGAAGTTTGGGAGTAGACAGCAGGACAGACAGGACAGGTGACCCAAACTGACCAAAGGGATATTCATACCATATGACATCATGCTCAGTATATAAAGTGGGGGAAGAAGGAGGGGACATTTGGAGTGATGGTGACTGCTCTTCCAACTAACTGTTCCGTGTGATGGGGCTCTGCTCTCCTTGAGATGGTTGAACATCTGCCTGCCCATGGGAAGCAGGGAATTAACTCCTTGTTTTGCTTTCATGTGTACATGGCTTTTGCTTACTCTGTTAAAACTCTTTGTCTTAACCCATGAGTTTTCTAGCTTTTACCCTTCCAATTATCTCTCCCATCCTAGTGGTGGTGGAGTCAGTGAGTGGCTTCATGGGGCTTGATGGCTGGCTGGGATTAAACTGTAACACCTGTGCAGCTACTGTTTTCAGGTGTGACTTTGTCCATACCATCCAGCCAGAAAAGTAAAGCAACTGTAAACTTTTATTTTCTAATAGCTTGCAAACAGCACTGGAGTAACTGATTTCTAAATTGACTGAAATCTGAACTAGGTTAAACTTAATTATACTGGGCATAAATAGAATATTGTTAAACAGATGCATTTAGATGCAGAATAATGTAGATGCTATTATTTATTAGCTTTATCCAAGAACATTTCCATTACAGGTACATTTTAATAACCAGTCCAGCTCTAATGAGTATAATATTTAATTATTCTGGATAAGTCTAAAAAAACTCAACACCTATTTCACATGAGCTCAGGCTCAAGAGCACTATCTTCTATGACAGAAAAGGCCATGGACTATTGGTACTACAAATGCCTGTGCATCTAAGTAGCTTCATACACATGAATAGTGCCATTAACCTCAACTCTTGCAGGACTGGAACTCACTAAGATAATCACAGATGAAAAAAATCTCTTATTGCTGTCTCTTGAGCAGATACACTTCCAAAGACAGAGAGAAGAAAAAAACCCCACAAGAAAGTTATGGGACAATTCCAGTCCTACAAAGAGCTAAGATCACATTAACACATGTTTTCTGTAAGGAAATCTTTCTAATGTAAAAAGGAGGAGGGCCACTGAAAGAAATCAAATAAATCTTGTTTTCCCTTTGATTCATGGCAGAGCCTGGTTCTGCTATTACTTGAATGAGGAGTATCCAAGGTACTTAAATGCCTGAGATAAGAAAATCTGCAAATCAGTGCCCTGAGTATAAACCATCCAAATTCTGCACATAGCACACATACTGTACAGAACAAACATTTAACTGGATAAGGGAAACTGAAAACTGCAACACTGTCTTTTAACTATATCCATGACAGCCATAAAAGTGAACTTTAAGGAAATATTGCAGAAATGTGTGTGCAGCTACATTACAGTCATCCTCATACTGGTACAAACACAGTCAGAAA